TCCTCTTGACTGGAAGGTTCTCCATCTCTCTTTCTTTTTTCGGGTGCACCCTCACCCTTCTGGTTGATCTCCTCTTCGGTTGCTATGAACTTATCCGCAAGTTTCAGAAACTCGGTTATGGTCGCGGGTTGGTTGACGACCATGTGCCACTTGAGCTCTTTGTGCTTCACTCCCTTCTTGGTCGCTGCAAGGAGTACGGCGGGATCCAGGCGCGGTATCTGCATACAAGCGTCGTTGAACCGCTTGATGTAGCTTCGGATGGACTCTCCCTCTCTTTGTGCTACGTTGAAGATGCTTTCTTCATTTCACGGGCACCGCTTGCTGGTGACAAAATGGGACGTGAAGGCTTGTGCGAACTGCGCCCAACTTCTTATCAACCCGGGTGCCAAGTTCCGGTACCATGTGCGGGCTGCTCCCCTGAACATAGTGGAGAAGGCCACGCACATGCACGACTCACTGGCTCGCGCCAGGTGCATCTGTGACTGAAAGGCATCTACATGATCATTCGGGTCAAACGAACCGTCATACTTGTCAAGAGGGGGGAGATTGAAATCCTTGGGCATCGGGACCGTCAGGAGTTCTGAAGACAGGGGGGACGGAACCGAGAGGAGGGGAGCTTTGGCTTCGGCCGAGCCTACCTCTTCTTTTCCCACGAGCTCGGGCAAATCACGGGTGATAGATCGGCGAGCTCGGCGGCGGTGTCTCTGCTTCTTGACAGGCTCGGCGTTCGTGCTGCTCACCTCCACGCTATCCAGAACGGTTTGCGCCGGGGGTAGCCCGGTCTGTTGGTGATGGCTACGGACAGAAGGGGCCTGCTTGGAGTCTGTTGCTAGGATCTCGAACCGGTTCTCAAGGATCGGGGTTCCAAACTTTGACTGTCGAGGCAACGTTGACCTGCCGAGCCGGGGTCCTCCCGACCTGTCTGCCCGCGGCGAGATCGGGGCAGCCGGTCTCTCCCGTCTGCCGTGGGGGGAGGCTTGGTTTTTTGGGAGATTTTGGGGGGCCTCTCCTCGGCTGGAGTGTTCGCTCTAGAGGCGAGACTTGGCTTGCTGCGAGGCCAGGTACTGAGGTTGTTGAAGCTGAGGTTGGGGCAGCTGGGGGAACTGTTGCTGATTCTGGTACTAGGAGACCTAGTGCAGCACATGTTGTTGATAGAGCTGAAGTTGTTGGAACTGTTGCATTTGGGCCTACATGGCTCTCATGTACTGCATCAGGTCCTCTAGCTGGTTCAAGCTGGCCACTGGGGGCACGACCGAAGGTTCGGTGAACGTCGTTCCGACTGTAGAAGGGAGTGGGGCGATGATAGGTGCCATTGTGAGAGGCACGTTCAAGCTGGGGATTCCGTCCGCTGAGAGGGGGACGGTGAACTATCCGAAACAAACAGTAGGAAGCTGGGGTTGTTCCCTGGAGTTATCCATTTCCGCGCTTCGTCCGACGTTACTAGAGGAAGCCATGAGCGTTGGATTGTTTCAAGGAAGAAGAAGGAACTGAAAGAGTTTAGAGAGAAAGGCTTTTTGAAGCGTTTCCCACAGACGACGCCAATTGATGTAGCGTGATCCAGACACTCCTAGCTGATTGCTGACTGGCTCCTTGTTGGCAACGAGCAGCACCTGAGAAGATGAAAGGAAGGATTCCCAGGGGTTTAGCCGGTGGGAATACTCCGATGCTTAAGTTAGTATTGTGTCTGGGAAATAAAGAGAAAATGAAGGTTAAGAGTGGAGGTCACGCTTATCACTATATTCGAGCGAGTAGAGTTTTTTTTTTTTTTTTTTTTCAGAAGAAGTTTCTTCTCTACCCTGAGGGCTTTTATAGAGGCGCTTTTGTGAGATCGGGCATAACCGCCACTGGGCCCCTGCCATAGCCGTTACCTGCCAGGGCTGCGCAGGTGGCCGTTGTGACGTGCTCCTTGCCCGAGTAAGTGACACATCCCCAAAGTGACAGGCACGCCTCCGCCTACTGAGAGACGTGGGTGCAGACTGCCGAAAGGGCAGGGGCTGCGCCGTCAGTAAGGGACTTGGCGCAGTTTGATTGGTACAGCCTGTTGGATAGAAGCTTCCTGAGGAATGCTCGTGTGGCTCATTCGCGAGCTACCCTTTAGCGAGCTCGGAGTACTTCAAGAGTGCCCTTAGTAGAATTGATCCTCGGGATGACTTGTCTGCTTGGGAGCTCGGGCGAGCTGGTTTCCTTAGCTTGCGAGCTAAGGTTGCCTCGGAATATACCTTTAGAGGTAGCTCGGGGAACCCGGAGCTCGCGTCGTGGCGAGCTCCTCCTTTTGCGCGTTACGATGTAGCGAGCTGCTTTATGGGCCCGTTACTTAGTCGTACTGGACCGCAATGCTGAGCTGTCGCCTATGTCGAGTCAGTGTCCACGTGTCGTCATTTCATAGATCGGGTCAAATCATCCTTCATCAGTTTGTATCGATGTTTTTTTCTCTACTAGTAAACACGTACGTGCATTTGCACGTAACAGTATCTCCAAGACAAAACTATTTGCAATTTATGGGCAGTTTTTGAATAGTTATAAGTGGATAGTTTCTTAAGTGTTATAAGTGGACAGTTTTTGAACAACTATAAGTGGGCATTTTCTTAACTGTTATAAATGGACAGTTTTTGGAGTGAGAGTAAAAGGCATAGATTTTTTTAGTAGTATAGATAAGGGGTAAAAATATCTTATGAAAAGTCCAGAAATTCACTCTTTTATTAGTAGTATAGATTTTTTTATTCTGGTTTAGAGGGATTGATTTAAGGCCTGGCCCATCTACCCCTGAACCACTGCCTGACCCAAAACACACCCATCCCCTGTAGGGTGTATCGGAAAGGCCCCGTCACGATACATATCAGCTGACGGATCAAAATTTTGAACCTTGTAGCGGAAATTTATGGTTTGGTAAAATCTAATCATGTGGCATTAATATAGTGGAGAAACAGACTTATCAATTATATATATATAGTGGAGACCATCGTGTAGCCCCATGAAGAAAAAAAAAATAACAAGTATTTGTTACATCACTGTCTCTTTTTTTTGTGGTATTATGTAACATTACTCTCCATTATTTTCATCTTGTTCTTGCTATTTAAATCATGATTTTATTTGCATACTAGTGATCATTCTTGTAATTTAGTTTCATAATTTAATTGCTTTCTAGCGTTTATTATTACTAGTTTTTTTACTTTATTTCTTATTATTTGATTGCTTTATTTTATTCTCAGTGTGGTAGTTTTGTTTTCCAAATCCATTTTACAGAAGCTCTTGAGATGTCAAAAGGTAGAGATTGATTTTTAGGTTTTGTTCCTTGGATTAAAAATCTCCGGATCAGTGTTCCTTTGTATTGGTTCAAGAGAGTGGAGAAAAACCCTCATTTTGTGGTAAAGGTCGAGTTTTTTAGGTTTCCATTTTTAGAAAACATCGGATGATCTCCAGAGAATGTTACACACCAATACTTGATATAAACATTTTACAATCATTTCTAGAGTAAATTTAAAATGGTATTTCATTAGAGGGTTCAAAAAAATAAGGATATTTCAATAGGTTCTATAGAAACCATAGAAATTGCAATCTCCTGGTGCATAAATTTGATTAAGGATTTAAGTTCAAAAGCTAGATTTGACTCATAATGACACTTGATGCATCCTCCATCCATAAGAGAATTAGATACTGAAATTATATTCCCTAGCAAGGAGCAGAAAAGTTCACAGCAAGCATACAATCTGCAGTTGCTGCAATAAGTTGCAGTTCTAGGGTACATTCTGCAAAAAGCAGTTAATAGCATGCGAATTGCGGTATTAAGTGTTAATTAATAGAGAGTAGCCAGACAACCATAGCTTTAAGCCAGCATCTGAGACACTGATTGAGTCTAAGAATTTAGGAGTTGAAACACGAACATCAAAAATGTCTCTTTATTTGAAAAGAAAGATGTCTGCCACAGCAAGAATATTACAGTCTTTTTAGCCAAACCCTACAATGATAAATATTGCCAAAGAATGACGCTGTAACAAACAAAAATGGAACCTTTCGCACTTGTATCACACTTTTCATGCTTCCTTTTCTGTTTTCTGTATTCTCAGCAAGTCCAAGAGGTTGATCTCTTGATCAAAGGCTTCATCTGCTTATCCTCCTCCAGAGAGATCATTCCCAAGTGTGAAGGGTCTTCCAGCATCATCTTTGCCACTAGATACCCAGCAATTGACCATGTTTGGAACTTTCTTGCCTGCTTACCAATATACCTCCCTTGCTTACCATCATAATATTCTGGCCAGTTGTCTTTCAGCAACCGGCTCTCAGCAAGATCAATAGCTCGTCTTGCAATTTGTGGTCGTCCCGTCTTGATGCATGCAGCCGTTAGCAGCCACAAAAGAACTGTCCCATGAAAACAGAAAAAACAATGCAAAATGCTAAATTTTTTATTGTGCATTTTTAGTAAAAGACAATGATATGGTAATTTTTAATACATCACCAGACACCAGTCCATACAGTCGAACTGGAAAATTTTGGAATAAGCTCCCAAGTAGCATCATACCAGAAATCATCCAAAACCCTTTTGTCATTTTGCAATAACAAGATTGTATACATAATTAAAAGAATTTCATTAAGGTATCAAGAAAGTAGGGTTGTCCCTCTTCCTAAGATGGGTAAAGTTAAGAAACATGATGAACAACTTGAACATGACGAGTAAAAATGTCTGTAGATCAGGTTACGTGGTAAAATTTTTTTGACCTGACCCTATCAGGTCAGGATTGCAGCCTTACTCGGGTCCCAGGTTGGGTTGGGCTAATCCATACTAAATCCAACCCAATGACATAGTATATAGCCTTTGCTGTATAGGGTACTTACTATTCATGAGTTGGGTGTGGGTCAGGCTTAGTATCCCATTTTAATTAGCCTGCTCAAGTAAGGTTTAGCTGTTCAGGTGGAGTGGCTTCAGGTTGGGCTCAGGTTGAGCAAAGCCCATATCAACCCCAACCCGATGACAACCCTATTGACAGGAACATCATCATCATCCATGCCTTACACCAACTATATGGGGTCCGCTACATGAATCCTGTTTCATCAATCCATTTCCTACTACTTAGTACTCATGTCCTTTTTGGTCTACCCCTAGACTTTCTAGCCCCTTCAATGTGTAACAAATCACTTCTTCTAACTGGAGAAGTTGGTGGTTTTCTATGCACGTGACTAAACCATTTTAGTCTACTCTCTCATTTTCCACTCATCCATCTTAGCATTCATATTTCTGCCACACTCATTTACTGGACATGTTGTTTCTTGGACTGCCCAAAACTCTGTTCCATACAAAGTAGCTGGCCTTACAACTGTTTTATAGAATTTTCCTTTTAATATAAGTGGTGTTCACCTATCATATAAAAGTCCAGATGCACTCCTCCATTTAACCATCCTGCTCTAATTCTTTGAGTGACACCCTCCTCAACTGTTGACCAGAACGGTATTTCAAAATTAACACAGCAGTCCTGCTTAACCTGAGGGCCCAGATCCCACAAAGAAGATTTTCCCAGTCAAAGAAAGAAAGCAGTTTGAAAGCAAGGCTGACAGGATTAAGCAGACCTACCATTTCTGGGTTAATTGCTGGACCCCAAATTGGTTTATTAACCCTATTACAGCATGTTTTTGTCCGACTCAGCTGGCAATATAATTGGCATCACCTTCTTGATCTAGATGAATGATCAAGGGATGCATGCAATTCAACCATTAGTATTAATAACCGGTTCGTTCTGCCTGGTGATATAATCATAGCTATTACTTCACAACCATAGGTATTAAAATAGTTTCAGAAAAGCAATACTCTCTGGGTACAGCTCCCACTAAGTAGATTTTTTTTATCAGCAAAGAAGAATTAATTTTATTAATCAGTGAAAAACAGGTGCCAAATTACAATACAACCAACACTTCAACAAAGCCAAAAAAAACTACAATTGTGTCCAAAACAGCTGCTGCTGCCTATGGACCCCCTGCTTAGCTAATGAATCAGCCATTCCATTTGCAGTCCTTCTGATCCAAGTGAATGCAGCATTGAGTTTCCTTGCCAGACTTTCTATCTCTCTCAGTGTGTATCTATATATCCAGGGACCACTACACCTTGTAGTAGTCCGAGAGATAACCGTTTTGAATCCCCTTCTACCTCCAAATTTTGAAAGTTTGCTTGCTTAGCGAGTTTTAGACCTTGTAACAGCGCTAGCAGCTCAGCCTTTATTGAGTCTCCTAGTTCTAGAGGACCCGAGTACATTGCCAATACTTTCCGTGAACAATCTCTAAATACACCCCCTATGCCTGCCAGTCCCGGGTTTCCTAAAGAGCTCCGTTTGAAGTTCAGCTTGATTTTATTGCCATCTGGAGGCTTCCAGTCCATCACTTTTTTATCTTTCCCTTTAGTGGAGTGTACAACTTCATTCCATGCTCTTGTTATGTCAGTCACTGAAAAGCTTTGAAAGATCTCCCACTAAGTAGATTTAACCTAGTTATAGAAAGTTGTATAAACTCAAAATTAAGGGCAATCAAATAATTTTAATTTCCAAGGGATGGTAAGATTCATCATGCAAGTTTCTGTCGTAGGATCTAAGACTAAACATAACAAAAACCTAGATGCATGATGCGCTACTAATCTCTACTCAAAAAGATGATTCTTTCCTAGTGTCTCCACAATCTTCAGGGATATTCATTTGGCATGTGATCCTTTCATTAATAAACAAGAATTTTGAATTAAGGGGAAACCCCTTTATATCTATCCATGTAAAGTAAACATTTCATCCTTCATACTATGCTTATGATCCTATACATGTAGAAAGCAACCCCTACTAGATCCGAATCATGGAGCCTACAAGCCACCTCCCAGGCTGCCATGGTTCAGAAATCATACTGAGGGATACTTCTTTCCTACCATATCACACAAACAGGATTACCAACACTAACATCCAGAGCTTACCACAAGAAAAGAACAAGTATTTTGCTTATTGCATAAAAGCAATATTGATTTACACTAGACAAAGATGGGATTTATTAGCATAATTATCGGAAAGCACTATGAAACAAGATGGACTAACCTGGCCAAGATCCACCATTGTGATAACTCCATCTCGTATTCTTGGGGTCACAACCGGTTACAATTCGCCATTCATGGCTTTCTAGAGTAGGATAGCTTATTTTCAGAGGCATTTCTCCAATCAGCTCTTGCCAGCGAGATTCAATAAGATCCATTATAGCCATGGACTGTTCAGGAGTTGCAAGAGAGGATAGAATAGCAACACAATTTCCTAAAGCAAACCATCGAAAGTCCATCCTTGCAGGACTGACATTTCCAACGAAGTAGCCACCACGAGTTGGCATAAAATCAAAAATCCAATCTGGAATTGAATCAGGAATAACATTAAACTTATTTACTGCAGTATGAGAATACTCCTCTGTTTTATAACGATATATGTCATTAAGTTGCTGGAAGTCGAGCCAAAAGTAATTTCGCATGTGAAAGCTTAAGGCGTGCAAACGTTTCACAATTCTCTCAATGAATTCTTTCCCTTCAGCATCATGCTTGAGCATCATTAAAGAACATCTTAATGCCATAAAGAATAGAGCTTGAATTTCAATAGGATAACCATAGACACCCTGTAAAACAAGAAAGAAAGATTATCAATTTCTAGTGTTCAAAGGTAAGCACCTAGCTGCTAGTTACATGTTCCACATAAAAGAAACAGCATGAACTAATATACCATCATGATTTTCTGAGTAAATCTAACAAATACCTGTAAAAATAAAAATAAAAGATAACCTATAACTCAGTCAAGTGGTAACATCCTTATCCAACTATTCAGAAAAATGTAAAAAAAAAATGAAATTTACAGAGGTCCAGTATGTAGCATGTAGACATAGGTATACTTGTGTATAACCAAACAACTGATGTTTGCATAATTGTACAATTAAAGTGGGAAGAGAACACTATGTGGACACAGGATATAGTAAGGTAAATATAGTAGCTAATTACTTGATGCATAAAAATCTCATTCTAATGAAAATATTAGAATCCTCATGCCATGAGCATGAATGGTAACTGCTAATGAGAAAAGGAAAATATAACAATTTACCTATCAAAGAGAAAATAAAAATGAATTGAATTCTTAGAATTTTTTTTCCTTTTGGTCTCTGATTTTTATCTGTCCTCTTTCCGTTCTTATGATGTCCTTTGCATAGATTCCTGGAAGCATGTAAATGCAGAAACACCTCTCTGTCCAGATCTAAGCACTGGTAGAACTAACTGAAAGCAGGAACTCAACTAACTCAACTCAACCAAGCCTTTTCCCAACTATCTGGGATTAGCTGCATGAATCCTATTCCAACCAGGGTGGAATAAAAATACCTATAGGTGTCATGTGGCCCGGCATGGCCCACTTTTGCGGGCAGCCACATTGTAGTGGGCAGTGCCATGCCAGGATGCAGACCTTAGCAAGCAGGCTGTGCCTGCCTGGCCCGGAATCCCTCAAGAGGGAAGCCCAGCATGGCCCGATGCTTGGGCCCAGTGGACCACCGGTGGCACAATTCTTCTTTAGAAAAATTCAAAAAAAAATGAAAAGTTAAAATAAATTAACAAGATAGACAAGAAATTGAAAAAAAAAAAAAAAGATCTTAAAACTTTACTCCATCTGAACTTCGATGTATACAATTGCATATATATGAAACAATAAAATGAAATTGAAAAAACAAAATTTCAATAAAATTGGAATAAAATAGTAAGGAGGTCTGGCACAGCCCACTTACTACAGTGACAAGGCTGTGCTGGACTGCGGGTGGCCCGGCTCACTTTACAGCTCTAAAAAGTACCTAGCTTCAGGTGCCTTTTCAATAGGCCAAGAGGCAAATACCTAATTTTTATGAGGCATACACCTCATATAAGAAGCATCAAAATTGAAAAAAATAAAAAAATAAAATATATTAGTTAGAATACTCCCTAAATTCAAAAAAAAAACTTGGATTGTTTAGTTGGTTCTGATAGTGAAGTTCTTTTTTGAAAGGACATTTGGTTAGGAAAGGGCTCTCTTAAGGATAGGTTCCCTTCTAATCTATTCCATCTACTTACAAAAGCAAAAAACTGGTTTCTTTAGTCCACTGTGAAATGGAGGCTCTTGATGAATTGCTTGGCCTTTAGAGCTCTGTTTCTTGGATCCTTGTCTGACAAGTAGGAATGGAAACTAGGCGGGTATGGTATAGGGCACTCCCTCCCTATCTCCATTCTCCATCCCTTAGCCAAAATCCCCTACCCCGCCACCCCGATCCTTGATTGCAAGACAAGGAACTCCCATCCCCATCCCCAATCCTAGACATTTTAGAAATGGGATTATGGGATCCTAGGGTTTTGGGAATTTGGGGAAATGAGATTATGGGAACCCTAAGTCACCTTATATACTCGGGGGTACTTTAGAAATTAATATTAAACCTAGGGATATTTTAATAATTTACCACTCCATTGAGTCCAAGGACAAAAAAAAGTTTTCCCCATCCTCACCTTGTCCCCATTTAAGATCAGGGAAACCCCATTCAAGGCGGAGCAGATTGGGGCCCCATTTTTTTGGGGGAAATTGCCATTCCTATTGACAGTCAAGTGTGGTCAACTTCTCCTTCAGGTCACTTCTCATGTGCCTCGTTCTTTAATTCCCTCCTTTCTTCTACTGAAGTAGTGTCCTTTCAAGCTAAAAAAGTATGGTGTAGTCCAATACTACCTAGAATTAGAGCTTTTTGCTGGGAAGAAATTCTCAAGAAGATTAACTTTCGTGGTTTGTTGCAAAAAAGGAGGCCAAATTGGTGCCTTTTCCTCATGTCTATTAACTTTGCCTTGACAGTGATGATATTGCAAACCACCTAATAATTTCTTGTTCATTTGTTTCTCACATTTGGAAATGGTTTTCTTCTCCTCTTAACTGCAGCTGGACACCCCCATCTTGTGTTGCAAGTCTTTTTAATGCAAATTCCTTGAGACAACCAAAGAAAAGGGGAAGAGTAATGTGGAAAGCTACAAGAGCAGCAACAGTCTGGGTGTTTTGGGAGGAAATGAACAATAGAATCTTCCAAGAACATCTTAAATCTTGGTAGAATTTAATTGACAGCATTACTTTCAAGGTTGCTCACTAGGTAAAGACTTTGGATTTGTGTGAATTCTCCTTTGGTGATATTATAAGGAATTAGTTTGCAGTTACGAATCCTTCATCCTCAAAGTCTGTGATTTAGGAAAGTTTGTTTCCTCCAGTAAACCAAAGATTTAAACTAAATTTGATGAAATCTCCTCTGGAAATCTTGGTCCTTTGGGCATAGGTGGTGCGATAAGAGATGGAGAAGGAACAATTGTGGCATTGTATTCTAGGCCAATAGGAGTGGGTGACTCCCCAAGGGCTGAAGTATTAGCTCTCTGTCAAAGGCTGAGATTGGTAAAGCAATTGGCTCTTCAATAGATTCAAGTGGAAGGGGACTCAAAATTGGTGATAGGGTGGCTGCAAACAGGTACTATGGGGATTTAGACTCCCAGGCAAAGCTTGAGGGAAATTACAAGCCTTTCAAGAGAGATTGATATGCTGTTTAGCTGGGTTACAAGGTCAGCGAATAGTCTGGCTGATCATCTAGCCAAACAAGGGTGAATTATTCTGAGTTGAATTGTAATAGTATATCCTTTGGGGGTCAGAAACCCTAGTGTAAGGGATTGGACTTGTGTTTCCTTCAAAGATTATCCAAATTCAATGAAAGTAACCATTTCCTATGAAAAAATCACTAGGATTTCCTTTTGATTCCCTAATCCAATTACAATAAACCAAAACACCCCTATATAGGCATTGTATGGACAAATTTCATACAACATTTGGGTCATTTTCTGGTGTTGATTCTTCATCCTCCTTAAAGCAAGGCATTCTTCATCATTTACAAATTATGTTATATGAAAAAAAATACAAGAAAATATCTACATTAAATAAAAAATATCATTTTATTTAGGAAACAGTTGGGTTGCTCCATTGTGACCTAGGTGACCAGGGTTCAAATCATCGAAACAGCCTCTCTGTATGTGCAGGGGTAAGGCTGCGTACATCTATCCCTCCCCAGACCCCGCCATTGGCAGGAGCCTCATGCACTAGGCTGCCTTTTATTATATTAAAAGCAATGCTTTACTAACTAATTAGGAACAATTAAATAATTTTAAGAAGAATTGTTTATTCAAAAGGAATTTATAAATTAGTTTCTTCTGAAAAATAAATTGAAACATATTAATCATCTAAACAAGGTATTTCTTTCAATTAGTATAAATAAAGTCAAGTAAATATAGAATATTTAAAATAAAAAGAAAAAATGAAAGACAAGTTCAAAAAAGGAGTTTCATCAAAAGACATAATGAATAAAACTAAGATTTATAAGTTGGTTGCTAAATAAATACATATATACATACATAAAGGTATCTAGTAGCCTTGCTCTTAAAAACACTTGATAGTGTTTTTGTAGATCCTTCTAAACTAGACAACCGAGTTTGGACTCCTCATTAGTAGTCTAGGCCAACTTCAATTTCCTTTGCGGCTCCATATCTAGGTACCACAATTCTTTATCTCCCACTACAGATGAGATACATCCCATTGTTGAGCCTTCTCCTCCTCCTTTCGATGATCTTAATCTTCCAATTGCAGTCTATAAAGGGAAGCGTCGTTGTACCTCATCTATAGCTCATTGTATTTCCTAATTTGTCTTATGATCAATTGTCTCCATCCTATAAGTCTTTTTTGGCATCTATTGATGCTATTTCCATTTCTAGAACAGTGCAGGAAGCCTTGTTAGTACCTAAGTGGAAGGATGCAATGAAAGTAAAGATGGATGCTCTTCTAAAGAACGATACATGAGAGCTAGTTGATCAGCCTAAAGGGAAGAAACCGATTGGGTGTTTACAGTGAAACATAATGCTGATGGCTCCGTTGAAAGATATAAGGCTAGATTAGTAGCAAAGGGGTTTACACAGATATATGGCATAGGCTATTTGGAAACTTTTGCACTAGTAGCCAAGATGAATACTATCAAAGTTTTAGTATCCATTGCAGCAAATTTCTCATGGCCATTGTTTCAGATGGATGTAAAGAATGCCTTCCTTAATGGTGATATACAAGAGGAGGTGTATATGGAGTTACTTCCTAGATTCTATAGTACAAAAGTGGGGAAGAAGGTCTATCGGCTGAATAAAGCCTTATATGGACTAGAACAATCTCCAAGAGCATGGTTTGATAGATTTAGGCAGGCCCTTGAAAAATTTGGCTATGTACAAGCCCAATCAGATCACACCATTTTCATTAAAGTTATGTTTGGTTTGAAGGAAAAAGTAGGGAAAGGAAGGAAAAGGTAGGGAAACCTTTACAAACCTTGTATAGGTTTCCCTACCTTTCCCTTCAAACCAAACATAGCCTAAAAGAATGGATTCCTCCTTGACTCTACTTGCTATATATGTGGATGATATATTGTGGTGATAGGGAGTCATACCCGATTGACTCTCTTAAGCAATTGCTTCACCAAGAATTTGAGATCAAAGATTTGGGAGAACCATGGTATTTCTTGGGAATTGAGGTAGCACGGTCTAAACATGGGATTTTTGTCTCCCA